TATTAAAAAGGGGGGGAAATATTTTCTATATACAAATGTGCATTTTATACGAAATAGAATAATTTTTTTTAAAATAAATTTGACCTAAAAAAAAAAACTATGAACAAAAAATTTTAAAATAAAAAAAACCCTTGGAATTGAAAATTTAAAAAAAAAATTCTACATACAAAGCGAAAATGTTCTCTATATTGATCTTTAATTTGAGAAAAAATCACAATGCCAAAGAAAAATATCTACAACCGCAAAGTTATACACGGAAGGTTGTCGAAGGTTTTCTATATTCTGCTGGAAAATCGGATATAAAAGATTTTCGCATTCTTATTTTTCTTGAAAAGAATCGGAATTTCTGGAACGGCTGCCTGTAAGGAACTGTACTGGTATTAGGTTTGTTTTTCATTCATTTTTCATTAATAAGCATTTGTTCTTTATCTTACGCAAAGGTTTCTCAGCTTCAAAAGTTAGCAAGCATACCGATATTTTCACATGTCAACCAGAGAACTTTTTATTTTTTATCTATAGAGTGGAGGATGCCTGTAATTTTCACTTCAGAGAGTTCCGGCCTTGTTTAGCAAGTGCTTTTATCCTAAACTGTATAATTGTGGGCGCGGCCTAGAAGAGTATTATGACGGTTGTCCAGATTGAGCCTGTACTAGTACCCATGGTAAAATACTTCAAGCTAAATTCAAAGAAAATTAAATAGATTTTCCTTTCAGTTTTTTACATCAATCGATAACTCTGATGGACATTCAAATATTTCTTTGCCAGCTAATAAAGCTTATGTTTAATACTATTATGAGAATTTTGTTATTATTTTTCATTTCACAATATTGCCATTATTATATTATAGAAGAAGACTGAAAGAAAATTCTAATAAAACTCTAGCACACATAATTAGAAAAGTAAACTTGTATAATGTGAAAATAAAACAGAAAGGAAAACTCTTGACTAAGAAAAAAAAATATAGATTTTTTTTTTGTATACACTATAAATTTAAGGAAATCAAACTTCAAAGTAAAAAATTCCTAAATGCAATTTGTAATCTGATTTAAACCGATTCGACCAATTCAACAGCGTTCTAAAAATTCTTCAATTTTCGTTTCGTTTGCTTAGTTTTTGTTGGATCAATTGTTTTTTTCTATTTGTTTTCTTCTTTTTTATAATCTCTCACCACATTCCACAAAGGTTGTTTATATCCATTGGATTTTAATGCAGTAATCAATTACTTATTACAGCAAGATATGAGCATACATAACTATACAAGTTGGGTATAAGTAACTATAAGAGGGTGATTCAATAAATGCAAAACAGTGGGCAATTAATAATAGGAGTTGGTAATAGTATCAATGGTAATCTCTGATGATTTTCTCCTAGTCCATATGGTTGTATTTATTAATTCAATTGCAAATGAGCACTTGATATTTTGCGCCGTGCTATGGATAAGTTTAAAAAAATTATATATGTATGAGGAAGGTGAACTTGATTTGGAATGACGTGCGAATATGTACAACGACAAGGGATCTGTGACCAAAGACGAATGTGAAATAACGAGAGCTCTGTTGAAATTATGCAGAGGGGATCCCAGTATTGCGGTCGGCATTTTGACGGAATACTGTTTATTAATAAAGATGGCAAAGAGATTGGAATGTTTCCCAATGGAATGTTGCCGTGGATATTCAGACATCAGGATAATCAGGAACATACAACATATACACTACGAGTGCTTCGCTCTGATGATCTTGATGTATGTAGGATCGTGATGTGTTGAACTTTATCAAGGAAGTTGAATTTAGCAGAGAGGCATGGACTTATACCAATGGGTTTTACTGTTGCGTGGCAGGGTTTAGTATGCCACCTTCCGTCTCTAACTAACTAACACTCTAAGTTGGCTGGGAATATCGTCGTTTAAAAACAATTCAATTTTCTTTCCAAAATTGAAGAGTCGAATAAATTTAAGATGAGTTTTAAAAACTCTTTTAAGTTATATAATAATTTATAATAAAGGCTGCTGAGTGAATATTACTGGAGATCCCTGTATACTTAAATTACTTATATTTACATTCAATATTGTATACATTGTATGTATACTTAGATAAGAATTCCATTCTAATTGTGTTCTACTTCCCATAGTATTCCCTTAATAATATAAAATTGCGGTGTCATATGTATAGCCGAGGGTATCGCCTTCCAATTTCAATATATTATTTATGTATTAACATATATGTAAGCATTATATTTGCTGTACGGTGAATGAATGGAATAGAAAAAAATTGACGATTGCATTAATTTTTTACCCATTTTATTTTTGTTTGGATTCGCTGTTTCTTTAATAATCATAATAATTTTTCTTGGAAAAACATAAGAAAAATCCAACTGTGAGTTCTTTTTTTTATGGAATTTTGGGTAATGTAATCATACCAAAAAAAAATCTTTCAGGTATATGTAGATATTTTAATAAGCGAGCATCGAGTACAGGTCTTTGTTAGTTTTTTTTTTATTATTTAAAGTAGAAATCGATTTCTCAATTCATAACTTCACTGTGTGCATTGCATTCATCTATATTAAAAATTGAATATGAATCAAAAAATTGTAATTTCATAATCATAATTTCATTATTATTTTGTGAATGAACATATATATATACATATATATACATTTGTATATTGAGTTCATTCATGACAAGCATTTAAAAGTAATTTTGTATTTTCATCATTAATGATTGAATAATGGACATTTGTATGGATGTAGAATGTTATAAGATGAATGATTGATTTCTCTATTTAATAAAAATTAATTTACAAACAAAGGAAAACGTTCAAATTATTAAAAATATTGTAATTTGTATACAAAATTTGTAATTATATAAGCTCGGATTGATTCTTTTTAAGCAGCCAACAATGCAGAGTGATTTAATAATATTTAAAACGAAAAGAATGTTAAAATTCTATTGCACTATATTGGTCGGATTAAAACGTAAGATAAATCTTCGTGAAAATTGGTTCAGTCGAACTTGAGATGTTGATCTTTGCAGACAGACCGAAAGGCAAACAGACACACATAGTGGGAACCTCACAGACATCCCACTAAAAATCGTTTATTTACGAGCCTGCGGAATTTGGTACCATCAACTAATCTTCCTTACCATATGCAATGTGCCTGGTAATAGAGGCGAACATGTATGTATGTACTATCAAACTTAAGATTTCATTATTTTCGAATTATTTTTTGAAAATTTTATAATTTTACTATGAACTACACCAACTAAATCTGAAATGAAAAAAAATCTCATTTTAATGCAATAACCCATTGGCAAATATTTTGTTTTCAAAATTAAATTAAATTTTAAATTCAAAATGAATAAACAAAATTTGATGAATTTCTTCATTAATCATTGCATTGCAATTCTCAAGAAAAAGTTCAATAAATTATTTCAAGTATTTCTAATGTCCTTTAATTACGTCAATTTTTTTTTTCAATGAAATAATTTTAAAAATATCTTTTAACGATATCGCTCCCATCTATCTATGAATTCAAATTTCATGTACTTGTGATTTCACTTCATTTATTACATCCTATTTAAATACTATGTAAAGAGCTTGTTGCATTTTTGGCACATAAATTTTTATATGAAAATTTTTTGGCAATATTTGGCAAACACTTTAAACAAAAAAAATGTTGGCAGCAGTTTTTAGAATTTTGATAAAATTCCAAATTAATTTCATTGAAAATAAAAATAAAAGAAAATCTTATCTACTACCTACATCAGATGAGTGAAAAACTTTGAACAAAAAAATAATAATAATTAAAATAGTGACGCTAAAATAACCGAGACGGCGTAAAAAATCCGGATAATGTGCGAATTCCGTTCATAAAATTAAATACGAAGAACGAAAGCAAAAACATAAGAGTAATAAAAAAAATTAAATACTTTATAAAATATTCTCGATAAAAAGTCAACATAAAATAATCGGGTGAAATAATGCCTATTTCGGGTATTCAATGGTCCGTGATATACCATCATGAAGTATGAAGGTCAAACTTAATATGTGGCATATTTTACAAAAATTTATCGACTATATTTTTTGGAATTTTATGTAATATTAAATCGCGACACTAACTTTCAACACTTTGCAGAATTTGTTGACTATGCACAGACAGAATTTGATATACTCGTCGAATATTTTTAGTTATTTTCCTTGTTAACCATGTGTTAACCACCTAAGTACACAAAGGCTTCTACTTTTTCCATTTGGGTGTCCTGTACGTTCATTAGTATCCAGAAATTCATAAATATATTTTATAAATTTCAAAACCAATCAAGAAAGTTACGCCACACAGTATCTACTCTTTTTTTTTTGTGTTGTCTTTTAAATTTTGAGACAAAAAATGTACAAAAGATCACAGACCAGTCGTTGAAATGTAGAAGTATAGTTCACAATATTTGTGACAGCACAGATTTACATTTAATTGTGTGCTCATATATAGATTGGCTAGACAGAATGTCATGATCTGACTATGAAAATTGTTCACAAAAAGCTATGTATATATGTATGTGTTCACATAATGAGAAAAAACAATAGAATGTGTAACAATTGCTTTTAGTATTGTGTTGTTTTTATTGCTCTTTTAGATGGAATTCGATTTGATGTAAAAGGAAGCATGAAATTTAATTAACTTTTTCTCTTTTCTTTATTTATTTGTTTAGTTTATTTTTTTTGTATTAAAATCAGAGTTTAATTGTCTAAGAAACGCCTTTTAATTATGTAAATAAAATCTTTATGTAGTCAACAATAATCAGTAAAGAATTTTTCATGTTTTTCGTATGAAATTTTTAGCTCTTATATTAGCTAAAAATCGCTTTTGTTTGTAAGCTTTCGATTAAATCTTATAAGCATATACAAAAATAAAGTTCAATTACTTGTATTAAAAATATTTCACAAGTTGTTTCGGAATTACAAAAAAGTGAAAAATTATAAATTGCACTTCAAATTTTCGTTTATATTTTAACCTTAATAGCAGTGCCAATATTTTAATTATTTGGCAGCACTTATACACTAAATCTTACGCACACTAATCTAATTTTGATAATTTTAACATTACATTTAATGGTGTATAAGTGACTTGTGAAAAATCAATTACCAATGGTATATCAGTTTTGTCACATACACTTAATTTAAAATTACTTAAAATACTTATAAGACCCACTTTAACCTGCATTGAGGCTAATCTTAGTCCAATACAAATACGATTTCCTTCACCAAATGGAATAAATGAATATGCGTGACGTTTTTGACGTTCTTCATCTTTAAAACGATCTGGATTAAATATTTCTGGATGTGGATAAATTTCTGGGTCGTGATGAAAACCTAACACTGGTATAACAACTTGCGTTCCCTCTTTAATAAATTGACCATTGGGTAACGTATATGATTTATTAGCACTACGATGAAGTGTTGCTATAGGTGGGAAAATTCTCAAAGTTTCTGAAATTTAAAACATTTTTAAACTGAAATTCTTGAAAATTACTGTTGAATTAATATTGATTACCTGATACTATCCTTTCGACCAAATGAAGTTCACTAATATTCTCATAAGTGAGATTTTCATTGGAACCAATAACATTTTTAATTTCTAATCTTGCTTGCTCTTGAATATCTGGATTTAAAGCTAAATAATACAGAGCAACAGATAATGTTGTTGAGCTTGTATCATAACCAGCAAAGAAGAACATAAAAGCATTTGCTGCAACATCATTTAAGTTAAGAATTTTACCATCTCCAATATCTTCTTCAGGGCTTTTGGTGATTGAAGATTGTTTGGTTGAGTCATTAATTTCCATCATACTCATTAATATTTGCATTAAATCATTTCGAAATATATTTTTATCTTTTCTCATTTGAATTGTTTCTTTAACTAAATTATAAAAGAAATTTGTACTCTCTTTATCGAACACTCTAAAACCAATTTTCCGGAATGGTTCTCTAAATGTTGATGCTACACCTACAGCTGTATTATGTAGTGGACTAAATGTCATAACTTTTTTACCATAATAACGAAATTCTGATTTTGGTTCACTAATACAATTACTTTCAATACCAAATATACATGAACTTATAACATCAATTGTAAATCTTGCCATTAAATCTTTAATATCAATTTCATTTGCATTTAGTATTGTGTTGGAGTTATTAATGTGTTCAACAAGTTTATTACCAACATTAGCTAAAGTATTAAACATCATTTTCATTTTACCAGATGTAAAAGCAAATGATAAACGTTGTCGTAATGCTTTCCATTCTTGATTCTCATGAAAAAAGATATTACCACTAAGTGGATCATCTTTTGGATTATAATAAACACCACGATTCATGAATGTATTAAAATCTTTTGCTAAAATTAACTTTGCACATTCTGGATTCACAACAAATAAACATGGTTGCTTAAATAGATAAATGCCAGCAAAACCAATTGTTGATGATTTCAGTTTCTCATATAAATTACGACATTCAATACCAAAATGAATTTTATTTATTACCATATTTGTAAAATTACCGCATGGTATTTTTGGTTTAACATTTAATATTGAAAGTTGATCCCATGTTTTGTATGATTCAATAAAGCTTTTATAAATGTAAGCGAGGAAAAGTGTTATAAAAATTAAAAAAAGTAGAAAAAACAACATTGTTTCTTTACCGTATAACAGTCAATTTAAAACTAAACAACAGAAAAACGTGCGGGGATTAAAAAAAAAATAATGAGAAGAGTTTTGAGAGATTTTTCATTTCAAGTTTCTCACCGTTGTTTACTAACTTTGTTTTCATTTTATATTGAGCTTTTTATTAGTATACTGCCTTATAAAACGAAATGTGCGTGTAAATATGTCTGTAATTATAATGGGTATATAAAATTAGTTAGTAGACCTATAAATTTTTTTTGAAAATTTAATAACAAAAACTAAAATCGCAAACGATACAAGGTGATGAGATACAAAGTGTTATAAAGATTAGATTAAAATGAATTTGTAAGTCATATAGCAGCGTGAGTATTTTAAAATATAAGATTACAAATATAGATTTCGGGTGTTGAGTTACGGAACATGTGAATTTTATTTTGGTCACATTTCTCTATTTTATAATAAGATTATTGAGTGACGTTGAATTTTAAAGTTGTATGAAAAAATAAAAAATCATCATAAGAATTGGAATTTGAACTTATTTCTAATTATATTCACTTATAACACTTACACACATTCGTAAATATATAATTTGTTTAAGCAACAGTGCTAAAGTAATGATTCACTTAAATTAATTGTGATTAAGCTAATAATTTGTTCACATTTAAAAAAATAGAAATTTAATTTTTAATTAATTTTTGTTTACAACCGGTTGTTTGTTTGAATATTCAAATTATCTAAATTTACATTCATACCTTATTCACAACAAAAACGAATAACATGTTATTCTCGAATAACACCTTATTTTTACGTACAGTGTTTATTTATTTATTTATTTCAAATGTCTGCAGAGAATTCAATTTATTCTCGTACTAAGACTGTATAACAGATTTCGTTAAAAATATTCATAAGCTTGTTGATAAATACAAATTGTCTTTAGGATTCTTCAAATTTAAAAATTCCAAATATAATTTATTCAAAGAATTTAAGAAATTGTTAAATTCATAACATTCAAAGTTTAATTAATTAAAACTAGTTAAGAAGCATGTTTAAGTTTAAATAACAGTAACTACACGTATATTATTGTCTGAATTTTCAAATGAAACTTTGGAGCCTTGGATTATCACATGAGCAGTCGAATAGCTCTCATTATGCCGCTGATCTTACTATATTCTCAATTTTATAATCTTGGTGATATTGAAATGAAATTTCTGAATTGAAAGGAATTGAACAGTCTTGCGCCAGAATTTACTTTTTCCAGAAAGCGCTATTTTTCCTCTTTGAAGTTAATTAAAGAAATTTATTCTTGAATCACTCATAAATTATAGTTACATAATTATGTAACTATAATTTAAGTTTATTAAAATTTTGTTATTTTTGAGAATAATATTAAAAGTTTTACTTTTATATACATTTTCTTACACATTAGCGTAGTTGTGTTTTTCTCCTTTTTAATGAACTAACAATATTTTGATTAACAAAACTTTATGCTACATCGAGTTTTTGTATATTCCGTAATATAAACTTAAAACTATCATAAGTTATCTACTAGCAAATTTCCAAGAACCGTATTGTTACAAAAATTTCTGAAAAAAAAAAATTACAATATTTCAACATTATACATGTAGATTTTATCAAAAGAACTGAAAGTATTCCCTTTCATAATCGTGATTTTGGTAATTTTTTCATACATACATACATAATATGTAGAAAAGGAAAACACAACCCATTCAAATATAATTTAATTTCATCTTCCTCTGCATTATTTTCACTATATTATAATTTATAATTGACTTATGCTTGGATTAACAATGTTGCAGATTAAGAAAATATTTAACCAAAATATTGTATTATAAATTTTTTTTATTTTCATACGTCTTCCAAAGATTATCTATAGATAAAAAATTATAAGATTATCTATTCCATGTTTTATTCAAACTTTGAAATAAAATATTCAAATTTTCAATTCTTTACTGATATTAATCTAGAGGGAGATGCGGGTGGGTTATGTAAAACATTATCTATAACAATAATATTAAAATTTTAGTATCAAACACGGACTTATTTACAATATAAAATTAACTAAATTCTGGTTGGGAGTTCGTTTGAAATCAAAAAATAAAACAAAATAACAAAATTCGTAATCAAAATTTAAAAAATATTTTTACATATTAATTAGCCATTCTTTACGATAAAATCATGAATCTACATCGATTTCAATCTGGTAGAGATTGGTTCATACTGGATAATTACCTATTTTAAATGTTATTTTTGAACGATCTACTTTGTTTTATAATTTTTTTTATTAGGTACCAACTGTAAAGCTTATGCAGAATCTCGTTATCACAAAAAGTGTAGATTTAGGTTGATAGGTTCGTTTTAGATTCGTTTTTCAATACTGTTGCAGTCAGTCAAATTTATACCCAATTTCAAATCAAATTGAGTGGTTAATTGTAAATGATTATGTTCCTATTATGCTGTCATGATTCTACATATTGAATAAATTTCAAAAGCTACATTTAAAAAATTGTACTTACCTTCATGAGGCAGAAGTAATCGCATTAATTCCAATAGTGATGCTAACGACGACAAAGTATAATTTCCTTTGCAATAAAATTTTTCAAATGAACAATGAATGTCTAAGATACGTGATTATTTTAATCCCACGATTTTTCCTTTTAGCTTTTAAATATCACGAATTTGATTTAAATTTCAAGAACTTTTTATTCCAATTAAGATATGAAATTCATTAATAATTAATTGATTGATAATTCAACTTAAAAAACTTTCACTTATGTTTTTTTTTTTTTAATTTTGATATAAGAATTGATCATAAAAAGTGAATTTTTTATTAATAACTTTTGTGTTTAATGTTCAATCGCTCATTTACATCCCAGATTTTGATTTTCATCCAATATAAAGAGTATGATTTAAAAAAAATAATCGTGTCTTCTTAATAACTTAATAAACCTTGAGTTGAGTTGAGAGTTAAATGAAATTAAAATAAGGCTGGATTAAACCAATATTTTGTCAAAAACACCTTTTCCCTTTAACAAGTGAAAAGGCTACTGTTCAAGAAAAAGTTGGGGATTTTGTTGTAACAAACATTTGTTGATAACGTTTTAATAAACATTTTCTTCTACAGAACTAGGTTGTTACTAAAGTTCTGTTTGTGTATAAAATTTCAGCTTTATATCTCAAAAGGTGTAGAAAGTTTGTAAATAGACACACGGACAAACTGACGGACAGAATAAAACTAACAGGCATGTTTTCTTGGAAAAGTGCTACAAAGTAAAGTAGAAAGTAAAAATTAAAAGTTAAAAATAGATCAAAAATTGGAGCAACATTGCCCTAAAGAGTTTCAAAATATCGCATACATATAAAATATACACAATTGTTATGCAACTGATGTAGGTATTTTGATTGTGTTCAAAGATAATTACACATTTTGCATCGTAGATTTAAGTATGTACATAGAGTTAGTGTGAATGTAATATATTTATTTAAGTTCATTGTTACTGGCATAAATTTTTCCGATAGCTTTTCTTTGGCGTTTCTACTTATTATTTTATTTATGTCGAATTGATTTTTGAATGATTTAATTTGTTATTAAAAATTAAAGTGTATGGTAAAAAAAAAAATAATTTAAATTTGTTATTTGGTTAAACCATCTTCAGCTAAAATGAAGTCGAAATTAATTATAAGCGAGGAAATTTTTTTTATTTTGTATTCCATTTTGAAGTACCTACATACTGTGAAACAGTGTAATTAAGTTATGTAGCATCTGTTGCTTACGTCATCCCTGTTGTTAATTTACGTGCTTCAACAGCGCTATCAAATTTTCTTATCCATAGCTGGTATCAAAAGTATTTATTTCATGTTGTATTCGATCATTTCTTCGTTAATAATAAATTTGGTATAATTTTTTTATGTGTTTATAATTTTGATTTGAAACTTACTCTATTATTCTATTACAATTTGTTTTGCTATATTAAATTAAGTTGTTATGTTTCATAATTTAAAATAAGAAATCGAAATTTAAAATGCAAATAAAAAAAAAATAAAATATACATCTGTTTTTATAATAAAAAGTATATTTAATTTTATGTTCATTCATCAATTTCACTTCATTTGATTTCTTTTATATTTACTCTTCTACTTCACATTTTCACTCACGTAAAAGTTAGATAGAAACACAACTGTGTTTGCTATAATAGGTCTCTCTGATATAAAGCTTGAAAACGTTAAAGCTTGCCAGTGACGTCTTTTTCGCAAAGGAAAAAATTTAAAAACTTATAAAATATGCATTAAACTTCAAATTTCAAAATATTTATTAAAAAGAAACAGTGCATTCATAAAGAGGAACAGCTTAAAGTTTTTAGCACACTAAATTTTATTTTTCAAAACTTGAAAATACTTTAAACATTGAGAAAACGATGACATGATCATATTCGCTTATTTTTCTTAGAGTATTATACCAGGCGCTTTGTAAAGTTTTTCAAAATTTTATTATACCAGACAGTTTTTGATTACCAGACTGATTTAGTTTTAAGAAAAATATTATAATATTCAATATAAACAGTACTAAAATCCGTTTTAATTGTGTTTTATTCAGATTTATGTATGTCAGTAAGTTCATGTTTACAGACCTAAGTACTATAGTCGCAGCATAGATTTACATACACATTTTATACTTTAATGTCAAGCGTTTGACAGTTTACCTTTCAAATATTTACACTATAGAAATTATTAAAATAAAAAGTAAGTTTGCGTTATTTATTTTAGATTTATTCCAACGTTAGACTTCAATTGTACATAAGATTTTTATCAAATTTAGATATGATAATGTGATTTGTAAGAAATGCCGAAAGAGAGTTCTTCTGCTCACTATACTGATTTAAGTACTTTGTTTTAAAGTGTAAACATTATCTAACACCATATCCAATTTTAAATCATAACCCATCGATTTTATATAATATCAAATAAAATCGATTATTTTCCCGTCGATT